GGCAGAATTCTTTCCTCTACTCCCGGTTAGAAAGTTGTCACTTTCTTTTGCCCTGTGACAGGACCAAACACCTCTGTTCACCTTGGTGCCTTACCTAGTGAAAACTAGGGAATAACCATGCTTCTAGAATCCCATTCCTTTTCCTCATCTGCTCTTCTGAGCAACACTGGCAGGAAAGGAATGCGCAGCAGATGAACAGAGCTATACACTGGACACAAAGTCTAAGTAGACTTCAGGGAAATTCAATATATAGCCTATTGTAAATTTCTATCAATTTGGAAGCAATAGTTTTCTTCCAAAATAAAATAAAATAAAATAATAATTTATAAAAAACAAACAAACAAACAAAAAACAAACAACAACAACAAAAAAAAAACACACCAGAACTTTTTCTCCTAAGATAAATTAATTTGCCCTGTATGGTATGTTTCACAAGACAATGATGAAAATTTAAACTGTTTTAGCCTGACTCCTGTACAGCCAAGGGAGAAAGGTGGACTGGAAGCCTAAAAATATGTATCTTGAATATGATACTTACTGTTTGTCTTTTGTCATTCAGTTCTGCAAAATCAAAAAGAGATGGTAGAATCATAGAATACATATGAGAAGTAATTCCACTGAGGAGGGAAAGGAAGACTTTACATTTATGGAAGGGAAATCTTCCTGAATGTGGGTATATATTTCAGTAGTATAGGAAAGCTACATGTAACTGTGATTTCTGTAATTCAGAGGAATAAAAACTATAGCAACTGGTAGACCAAAGAGGAAACATCTATTTATTTAAAACCTGTGAGAGACATATTCAAATAATTAATCACATAAAATCAACCATACTTGGTTTCATCTAAAATGGTAAACATCTTTAAAAAAATCTTATAATTCATTTCTATTTTAAGTAAAATGAAAGCAAGTAGTTAATGAACTTTTACTTAGTTTCACGGAAATAATGCAAAACTATGATTTCATGTGGTTTCAGCTGGAGCTGACAAGGCTGTTACAAACCTAACACTATAAAGCAAAGCCAAATGTTGCACAGCAAACTGTGCACATAAAAGTGGAAAATATCAGCACAAATTCCAGAAAAATGAAACTTCAAAGGTCTGAACAACTCAGTGATTTCAGAAACTAGTAGTACAAAAGAATTAATTAATATTCAACACAATCTGAATATATACCCTTCCTATTTATACAGAGATGTTTTTGTATCATGTAATACATACAGAGAAACTAGGATGGACTCGTGTGATCAGTAGCTTACTCTTTATAATAAATTCAAGGATACCCTCACTAAGCTCGTATGTTTAGTAAATTGTTAAAGCAGTGCAGTTAAATTCACAGATTTGTTCTGCTATTTATATGACAATACACTACTCATTGTAAGCATAACTGTGAGAACTGAGTTTTCAGGGGCTCTGATGGGTATTGAGGCTCAGAGTGCAAAAAGCTATTACAGCCCAGAGACCTGCCAAACCTTAGCAAGCATGAGGAGTGCAACACTTGCTAAAATTCAACTCTTATAGATACAAACTACTTGAGATCGCAGGTGTTTAACCATGTAAGAGACTCTTACAAACAGAGGATGCTGAAACTTTAGGGCCTGAGGCAGCTGCTCAGTTTACAAATTGGTGTTTTGTCTGGTTGTGACTAACAAATGCACAAAATTCTGAAAACAGTATTTGCTTTTCTCTGCTTGTGTCCCAAAATCCCATGTATTTTTACACAAATTTAATCTGATCACTATTTTAGTGAAAGCAGGGGATTACAGTCATTCAGGCATCCAAGAAGCAACCAGTCTTTTGATCAGTTAGGGTTTACTAGCAACTTATAACTTCTGCTAGCTTTATTTTATACTGAAATCCTTTAAAACTAGCCTCGTTAGCAGAACAAAACTGATGTTTAGCTATTTGGTCCATATTCTATGAGCCATGAAATATGGTTCAGCATTTGTGTCAGAGATAGTGGCATCATTTAAAGCACGAAGATCAAAATTATTTATCACTATTAATTTTTTGTCTGTTTTCCTGACATTTAAGTAAGCCACATAAATAAATCACAGTTTCAAAGAGTTTAATGGCATCAGCTCCTCTTTCATGCTGTTGCACAGAAACTTATAATCACATACCTTTCAAAATATAGCATTTTTTTAAAGAAGGCTAAGTATTTCATGGACATTTGGTCTTTTGGATGTATGTCAGTGACAAGAACCTAAGGACAACAAAGGGAAATTTACGTCTCACAAGAAGAATTTAACTGTATCCTAGTGGCTGATAGGTCAAAACATGAGAATGCCTGAACCACACATCAAGTAGGGTTTAACTAATTATCTAGAAATAACAGATGCATACATACTACCACCCTTCTTCCAGGTCACTCTCTTTATGGATGAGATAATTGTAGCCCAACTTTACCTGGTGTTCTTGACCTGCAATGACATTTCTTTTAGCTCTCATTGTGTTAATTAGAAAATAATGTTAGAAATTACAAGGAAGTGAGTAATTAGTTTAGCAAATCCTCAGCCATATAGAATCATAGAATGTTTTAGGCTGGAAGAGACCTCTAGATGTCACCTGGTCCTACCTCCCTACACAAGCAGGGACATCTCTACATAGGTCAAATGGCCCAGGGCCCTGGTCGGTATCTATATCAAAATATGTATCTCAAAATAGCAACAATTTTTTACTTATATTACTGTTGTTCACAGTTCCAGTGATACTACTTAAGTCCTGGTCAAAACTGTACACCAAAAAGACATCTGCATGAAAACTCTGAACTTGGATACTCTGTATTTTCAAGACATTGGGACTTGGATTCTGACCTCTTTTTTGATATGACTTAAATCTTAAAACACTAAACCTCTGATTTAAACATCCTATGACTTTTAGATTCACAGTCAAAATGGAAACTTCTGACTATTCCTGGTCACTTATCCTTTATCAAGATAGAAACTAAAATAACAGAATATGAACGAATATGACAGAATAGAAAAAGGGAAAAATCTGAAAAGGCTGGGTTTTATTTTGCTATGTTGTTATTCTATATTTTCAGCTTTCACCCTTCCAAAATCTAAAGAAATACTAGAGTAAATGAAAGAACAAATACAGTTCTTTCACATACCTTCAGGACAAGAAAACAAAACAAAACAAAACAAAACAAAACAAAACACCCTTGAGTGTATTTAAACTCCAATTGTATTTCATAAAGAATCACTCGAGAAGATGAGAGTGCACTTAATAGTTATATATGTCATAGTATATTGCAAGTCAATTTTAATTGGGGTGATATATTACTGAAAACATGACAGTTCAGGCTAGACATAATTTGGAAATTGTTAAGCCGGTAAATAGAGACCTGATATGACATTAGGATATACTAATCAGTCCCCAAAACCAACAGAGGACACTGTTTATGACAGTGATTTCAAACAATATTAACAGCCTCTTTCTTCACCGAGAACCTGAAATTGTTTTAGTTGTATTTCCCCTAAACGACTACTGCAGTGTCATACAGGTAGGCTAGCATTATCAGATGAGCAAGAGAAAAATAGGTTTCTTACTCCTGTCTGCATTCAGTAGGAACTAGGCTCAGAGTTCTCTTTAACTTCTTTGAACATCTTAGTAATGTCTTTGAGACATGTTTCCATTTAAAGGTTAATATTCATTTAGAAATTCAGTTCACACATCGATAATTGAAATATTACTGTTTTTTTAGAAGTTTTTGTGTATGTGACAGAGGACTAAGAGTCTTTTATGCAATGTATGTAACACGCCACACCATGTATTAGGAAAAGGAAGTAATATTAAGAGTTCTGGGATTTAGTTTAATCCCTGTTTTTGAAGGGAAAAATTTAGTAAAGGCAAGAACAGAAATACATCGCTACACTTATAAACACAGTTAGCAGATACAGAGAAATGTTTTACTGATAAACATCTGAAAACTAAAAAATGAGCATTTGCCTTCAATACTTTTTGCTTTCATTGTGTATGTTCTTGATGATGAGATAAACGTGCTTTTTGGTACTGCAATGGAATCCAGCATTCTTTTTAATATTCAATGCTTTACAAATATAGTCTATACATGTTAATAGATTTAAAAAAAAAAAAAAAATAACCAGTTAGTAAAAGTCCAGCATTAGTATAGAATACGTATAATACCATTATGCATTTGTTACAAAATTGATGCCTGTAGCCATCAATAATATTGATCCTTTTCAATTATGCAACACAGCTATAAAATCTGTTAATCATGCATTAACCTGTTATATTTTTTATACTTTTATTTATAGTGTAACCAAATTAAATTTACAGTTTTCATCTTAAGTAATATGTTTCAAATGCTTTATGACATAGGGAGTTCTCAAACACTGAGACTTGGAACATAAGACATCCAAATATTCATGTTCTTGCTGTATGGACACTTCAGTTTAACTAGTCTAGTTCTGAATGTTTTTATTCTGATAACGTACTTAAAATATAAAGTCATGTTTTTAGAAATAATATGTACAATTGTTTTCATAGGCTTTATTTTTCCTTTTTAAAAAACTGAGAAAATATAATTCCTCAAAAATAAATACTCCAAACCTTTCAGCATTCTGTTTTTCCCCTGTAAATAGCACATCCATTTGCTAATATCTCCTCTGTTTAACAAGAAAACACTCTTTAGTCACTAGATGACTTTTTTTGTCAGTGTTGCGATGCTGGAAATGATTTTCTAACACTGTGAGGTGGAAGGTGTTTAAGTTTGTTCCTCTAAGTATATGGTTTCACTGGATGTTTAAAAAGACAAGAAACAAAAGCAAAGCAAAACAACAACCATCACCACCCCTCCCTGGGACTGAAATACTTTGTATGTGTTGTTATTTGCAGTGCATGCCAAGACATTCATGGGCACCAGAGCCAACCTGGCGAGCTAATTAAATATATAAATGTATATGTTTAAAACAGCCTTATAAGAAGCATTGGAAATCTGCAAGATGAGCGAATATCTTATAACTTCTTCCGCAGGTGCGAGGATAGCTACAAGCCATGGACTTTCTGTCCTGCTTCTTGTTTGTGGCTTTGTGAAGGGTGCTTTGCTTTAATCTAAAAGTGCTGACTTTTTCCAATATCACTTTCTCTTCTTAAAGCAAAGATCAAATCGCCTGTAAAATCCACGGAGCGGACAGCAAAGTTGACCCTAACCTCCAACCACCACTCTGCACCCAATGTACTCTAAATCTCTACACAAGGAGCACCTTCTTCAGGAAGTACAAACAAAAATACTAAACAAAACAAATAAATAATTATTATAAAAAGAAGAGGATACCACATGTTTTCGTGATAATATCTCATTTTCTTTGGCGTATCACTGATCTTTTATTTGACGAGAACTGGTGTGATGTAATCAAACGTTTTTGTAACTGCAAGATCTAGTTTCCTTTTCTTTTGGCAAGGAGAAGCCTCATCTTTGACTTCTCAGGGGTTGGCCTGCGAGTCATCAGTATGACAGAATTAACCGTGGATGACATTTGGTTTCCTACGCTGAAAGAATAGTTCCAGCCTGGAAGCAAACAGAGGCCAAACAAACAAAACAGTGATTTATCATTGACCCAAATAAAACACACCATAAACTTTATCAAAAAAAGCCTTTTTGTTTTCTTGATTTTCTGTTGTGTTTCGTAGGTTTTTTGTTTTTGTTTTTGTTTTTTTTTCATGAGGAAGAGGGAGGAGAAAAGAAATTCTACAGAACAGCTAAGCAGACTAGAGAATGTTTCTGGAAAACAAATGAAGATATTTTTCAGCTGTTTGGGATTCTTTTTTAATAATTCTTTTTCCCATATGTTTTTTTTTTTTCCTGTCTTTTTTTCTTTGTTTCATGTTTAATGGTGGCATTTATTGACTTAGGCCAATCCCTGAAGATTGCGTGGAGGTTTATATATACACATTTTTTTGTGTGTGTGTTCTATATTTCAGTGTGTTTTCTCTACTTTTGCAACTCCTGTATATGCAAAATTAACTTCTGTAAATTGCTTACAGTCTGTGTGATATATCTTCAGAGTAGACATACTTTGGTCCTCATGCAAGCCAGTGTTTTATATTATCTATATCTCATGCCACCAATAGACATCTTTATTTCCTTTTTGAAAAAACATTGCTTTTATGTTTCTAATTCAGTACCATGTGGATTTTGTAAAACAGACCTTCACTTTGACTGATTTGATCCCTTTCATCCCCCTGTTTATTCTGTAAATGCACATTAAAATTTGTTATGGTCTCTAGACAATGAATTATTTTAGTTTTGTGTATGTTGTGTTGGAATTCAGACACTGAAAGCTCTTTTATTTTGTGATGTTTATAGAGGATGAGGTAACTTGAACACTAGAGACTGTAAAATGCAGGTTTCCAGTCAAACACTGCATGTAAATAAAGGTTAGAAGGGGAAAACAGACAAATCAGAACTTGGCTTAAAGTATATTCTTTTGGTAAAGAGTTTTAGGTAAGTGAATTTATTACACTGATAAACTATATTTGCATCACAGCTCCTTCTACATGGCCAAAGAAATGTCTTTTGTTGCTTTTTCTGGAAGTGGATTGTCATTACTCATTGATATTCTTAATTAAAATACTTTGTCTGAACTTAGCAGGAGAATTTTTGCTGTTGAATGAAGTAATATGCATTACATGAATGACATTCATTAATACAGGAAGGAAAAATTGCTACTATTTGCAGCTGCAATCAGGAACATTTTTTAGCTTGTTCCTCTCCTTCCACTGATGCTGAACAATCCACATCCTCTCATTTATCAGCACAGACAATCACGTATACCACATGCTTATTATGATCTATTTACAGAAGCATTAAGTAGCTGCAGTGTGGTCAGCTGTGTGATTTCTCTTCATTGTATAAGTGATGTAGAGGGAAATAAAAAAGTATGTTTCATATTTCGCCAGTCCATGGTCTATAGGCTTAACATTTTATTTCAAAACACCCATACATCTGAAGTCTTCTCCCATTAATGTCAAAAGAGAAAGAACAAATAATAGCATAGAATCAAAGGGTAAAGCTAACAATTTGGAAGTAGGTAACAGAGGAAGTAAATTAAAAAACAGTCAGAGCTTTTTGAAGTCTCATTTTCTGAACACACTTATGGAACCAATCCTACAGGCCTCTGGAGGAAAGGCTACATTTTCCCTGTGAAATAGGTATCTATGACTGGATGCTGGGAGAATCTCTGTGCAGAGTTTGGAAACCTCAGTTTCTATTGGTCTTAACTGAAATCAAATGTTTAATGTCACATGTTTCATATGTTTACTGTATACACATATCTTGTATGAATGTTCTGTGTATGCATTTAGTCATATAGACAAACTTCAGTGACAGATGGCATTTTTCAGAAGCAATTTAGCCTCACATGGTTAAAGTTAACCTCTGATTATCTTAAACTGATACTGTGTTTTGCTTAATGCTATTAGCTGTTTAGATATAAATCACTGTGTATTAAGAAGATCAAAGAACCAGCTGAAATTAAAAGCAGAATTCTAGACCACTTGGACTACTGTGGTACAACTCAGAAGACATTACCAAGGAAAGTGCTGTATTGTGATCTGCTATTGTTAATCAACATTGTCAGAAAAAAAGTGGACAAAAGAAATCTGTCCAACTTTTGAAAAGCCTTTCAATCTGGCACGAGATACTAAGGTGATACAGTAGTTGTTGTCCTACTCCCCTCCGCAAGATAAACCCAGATTCTTCAGATAAGTCTGGTCCAGCCCTTCTGGTTGCAGATCTAGAACCTAGCTTTACAGTTTCTGCCAACTCAGATGTAATTGCTGCATCCACATAGCAGGAGCAACTATTGAATTTCTAAACTCTATGTTGTGTCTTAACAGCTGTTCTTCAAATTGTGAATCTGCTTGAAGCTCCAAAGTACTATCAAAATGGAAATTAAGCTGCAGTAGCTCTCCTTTTTCCAAAGATATTTTTATGAATAATATGTAGTATAGGAATGGAGCTACTACCATTCTCTACCCTGGCCCAGTTCCCATGTGGATTTAACATATGAAGAGAAAAAAAAAAAAAAAAAAAAAAAAGGTTTAATTATATCCTTGAAATCTCCATTGATTTAGGTGCCTAAAAGGGCAACTTACATGTAGCAGTGCCAAAATCTCTTTAAACCCAATATCCTTAATATTTGCATAAAAACAGTCTAGTTTTGAAGGCATAATTTACATTACTTGTGCTTCTCACTTGGTGTCCCCAAGGCCTTCATTATATCTGTGACTATCTTCAGATTGTTCCAACAGGGTTGTTTTTTTTTTTTTTTTCATAGAAGAGTAAACATGGGTGAGTATGAAACACTTGTATTTCAAGGTATATTCCATCAAAATACACCTCACACAGTTTGAGATGTTATGGCTTGTGAGACTAAAAGAAACATATTCCAACACGATTAAGTGTCAATGACAGCTTTTGTACTGCATGACAGAAAGAACTGTAGCACTTTTGTACTACTATCAAGGATTAGCACTGCTTCAGAGCCTGTCCTGTAAATTCTCCTCTTTTTTAATGATTATCAATATTCTTTTAATCTCTGGAGCTTCATGCATGCAAGTTGCTGTGTAAAATGTTTGAACTTACCTTTCTTAATTGCTTTTTCTAGATTCTTCAAGGAGATTTATGGAACGAGAGGGGTGCTCAGCCCATAGATTTAAAAAAGCTTGCAAACTAATTTAAAATAACTGTTTGTTTCTCAGAACTCCTGTTAAGAATGGTACTAGAAAACTTGAATGGTAAACACTGAATCTACAATGAGTGATTTCTTTTTAATTCTCAATATTAAACATTTATATTCAGCACTCCCTGAAAGTAAAGATCAGAAGCAGATATAAACATATGAAGTATCACAGCAAAAGCAAAAGGACTGCTTGGAGGTTCATACCTATGCATGTAATTCAGTGACACTGTGATTTAGGATCAGAACATGATCTAGACCAGTTTTTCTCACATTCATTCTTTAAAGTATTTTTGCTTTGTTCAATTAAAATAAGGAAACAGTGCCACTAAAATGATCTGAATGCTTGCCTAATATTTTCCAGTGTTAAACATCTAATGATCTCTACAGTGATGTCGTTATTTAAAAAAAAGGAAAAAAAAAAAAAAAAAAAAAAATTGCACTGCTGCCAATCTTCAACTCCTTCCTCGAACAAAAGGAAGGAAAAAAATTCAAACCTTTGTTATTTGTGGGATAGAGGAACATTTGTCCATGACATTACTATTGGTAAATGTCAAATGTTGTTTACAGAACTAAAAGCATTAAGAGCCAAGCATGGGATCACCATACTTTGCAATATACATTTTTAAAGGTTAATCTTGCATGATTATCTTGGCTAAACAATGCTAAGCACAAAGTAAATTGCTTAATACAAGTCACCATAAATGGCTTCAGTCTTTTGCTCAGAGCTTCTTAAATATTGATTTATATGATTTCACAGTCATAAAGTTTGCACATACATTCACACAGCTGAAAGATTATACATCATTTTTTAGTGGTCTTCACGTAAACAACACAGGAAGACAATAGTAAAGAAAAAAGTTAAATTTCTCTGTAATAATGAATCACAGTCTGTTGGTAGACTTACTTGCAAAGAAAGAGAAGCGTGCTTTCTTGAGAGTCAAGCGTAATTGCAATCTTATTTAATTTTCTCCTTTTTGTACTATTCTATTTTTGCCAGTGCTTCAATCTAAAAAAAAAAAAAAAAATTGTATTTCTTAATACTCACTTCTTACAAGATGACAGAAGACAAAATAGTGCCATTTTTATTATGAAGGAACCTGGGAGGAAAAATAATCTTTTCACTTAAAAACCATCTAAATGTTTACAGTATCTTATCAGCTCAAAATATCTCTACTTATAGCTTTATGGGAAAGGAGCAACAAAGTGTTTTGTGTTTCAGCTTGGTTCTCAGTGTTCTCTGTTAATTGTCATCCTACAGCTAAGTACAGGACTCTTCTGAAAGTTTCACAAATACAGTAATTTCCCCTGTAACTACCAGTGACTGATTTGAGTTTTGAAGTAGTAAATACTTGTAACAGTATGGAAAAATATTCTGAGTTGCAAATGAATGACAGCTATTAAAGCCATAAACAAGCCTGGCAGCATATCACAAACTAGTAATCTCTGACAGGTTTCAAAATACAAAAAACTCTTTGTGCTAAAAAAAAAAAAAAAAAAAGGTTTCTGGTGGGATTTTCTTTTAAAGTTTTATTGTAACCCACTCTTATCCATACAGCTATAAATACTCTGGATTTTAATTTCAGCTATATTGTGCTGACAGTACAGAGGGCCTCCAGATGGGAGAAAAGTGAAATTTTCACTTATTGAGATCCTCCTTTACAGTTACATTACAACACAGAAAGAGGTCCTCCATGTACATGAGGCTGCTTATAGTGAAAGCTCATAAGGAAGCCAAACTGTACATAGTAGACTACTTATTTCTTTCCTCTTTTCATATATCATGGACTTGAAAAACAAGAGAGAAGATTGGGTTTGACAGCCAGTTTCTTAAAATAAACAATTTCATTTAAATATTCAAAGAAGCAAAGTCTTAAACATTCTTATTAAAAATACTCATATAACTAT